ATATGATTTATATTATTATAAAATAAAACTTCTAAGAATTTATTTACGTAAGTTTAATAATAAATAATAGTTTTTAAAAGCAAAAAAAAAATATATACAAATGCAAATTTATAAAAAAAATATTTTTAAAATAACAAATAATATTTCAATGTAAAATTGAAGAAGTGATAAATTATTTATTCTTTTTTATTACATGGATAGTATACACATATAAATAATATATAATAGTCTATTGCATTCCATACTTGCAATATTTTTGGTAGAGTCTTTTTCTAAATGTTTTCATTTAGTTTCATTTTGTTCTTAAACATTTTAAAAATGATTTATGTCCAGTGAAATTAAAAATTTTAAATAAATTAAAACATTAATTATTCCTCAATATTTAGAATAAATATAAAATAAATGAATAAAAAATGTTTAATGAATGAAAACATCAATTGAAATTCTAAATATCTTTTAAAACTTGTTATTTTATCAGCATCAATTATGACTAACCAAATATCCTACTCAGTTCCTTAAATAATAAATCATTAAATACCTGATGCTGAGAAAAACTGTTTATTATAGAAACATTAATGTTTTCGACCTAATATGATAGGCCATCGTTAGACAATTTATTATCAATTACGACAAAAAGAATCATGTGAGAACAACTCATTCTTAAATATGAAAAGTTTATTAAAATAAATTATTTTCCCTATTATATCACTAAAACTGAAAAAAAATTTACATTTTTGTTTAAAAAACATTTTAATCCTGTAATAATTTCAATCTTATAAATCCAAATAAAAATCGCCTATTCTAGTAAAATTTAAAAAGTCAGTTTTAAAGTTTTAGAAGCCAATTATGAATTGCTAATAAAAATATTTTTCTTTCCTTCTTACATCCATTCTAGTGAATTCGTGGTATGTCTATTTAATATAAAAAAATGGAGAAATTTCTATAAATGTCAGATAAACTCATAAATCTTAAAGTACGTCGTGGTATGACAGATATAAAACGCTCTCAGCAAAGTGTAACGATGTACAAACGTTTCTTTTACAGTTTCTAATGTTTTTCTTCACATCAAATTTCTAGATATTTAATTTTTTCTACATGTTTGTCAACTCGACAAAAGTCACTTTCATACAAAAATATATTCTACGTTAAACTAGATCCATGAAATGCTTACTAGAATCGTGAGAAATGAATATATTTGACATCTTTTTGAAGGATATTATGAAGATTTTATGAAGAAATGTCTGAAAAATACCATAAAACATAAGAAATTTTCAAAACTGAATGAATTTTCATTAAGTAAATCAACCCAGAAAAACATATATACACATAAATATGTTGTGCGTCAACATCCTCAGAGCAGCATCTATGAGATTTACTTGACTTTCTAAAACTTTTATACAATTTAAGAATCTTTTCAGATAAATTGGAAATTTATTTACTAGAAAAAAAAGGAGTACACAAATCCGGACAGGAAATGTTATTTATAAATGATAACAAAGAGGAAAAAACAGGAAAAGATAATTCAGGAGGGAGAAAGAATAAATTGTTTACAAGATTCTATCAGATAAAAGGAATAAAGACGTCACAGTGCTTTATTACGTCAACGACAATGTCATATTTTATATGTCAAAACAGTTTCGAGAAAGGAGAGTTGCAATAAATTTAATCGAGTGTTGTTACATTTTTGCAATTATTGATCAAATCTTTTCATATCAACTAAAATGCCTTTTTTCCTTGTGGAAAATTTAATTTGACCCTTTTTCCCCTCCTCTTTCTTCATCTTTTCTTTCTCTTCATTTGCATATTTTTCTTTTTCAAGAAAGTTGTCAAAGTAATCGACTTTTAAAAAATTATTTATAAATAATTTATCTTTTTTTCCTTCTTACTCTTCTTCCTCCCTTCCATTTCTCATTAAAGAATCACGAGTTGAATTATAAGAATGAAGAAGTTGATGTTATTCTCAGTATTTTTACGACCATTGATTAATTTTTTAGTAAGAATATAGCAAAATAATCTTTGATTTT